ATGATTTATATCAAATTTATCCATTAATTTCCTAAAAGTGGAATTAAAAAATTCTTTCTTTTGATCTGACTGAATATTCTTGGGTGTACTTTTACTCTTTTTAAAAACAGATTTCATTCCTCTGCTACATCCAGGGCAGACTTTATCTTAACTGCCTCGGCGTATGCACACTTTGAGAAAGTGTCAATAACGGTCAGTAAATATCTAAAACCCTTATTTCCTTTCCAAAATGGTATCATTTCAACTAAATTAATTTGCCATGTGTCCTTTGTCCCTTCTTGAACGAACTTTCGCCGTGTAAAGTTTTTTCGAGCTGCCTTATGAATTTCATCGATAACTTGTTATTAGCTCATCTTAAGATGTTGATTTATTAGTGTTACTTTTTATTTGATGACGATGGTTGCTTAGTCAATAATGCTTGCTTATATACAAAAACATCCCTTTTTATTTCTGTACGCATCTTTTTTGAAATTTCAAAACATAATCGTGTTAAATCTATTTGCACATCATTATCATAGGTACCTTCTAAATCAGATAGTTGAATATCAAATTTTTGTAAAGATACACACTTAGGAACAATATGATTATTGTAAAGATATATTACTTGTTGTCGTAATATGGAGTTCCAACATAAAAATATAGTAAAAAATATACCTAATCTTAGTAATGATCTCCAGGACTCAGAATCAAACTCAATTTTGTTACCATACTGATTAATCACAAAAACGTACTGATTATCTGATTTCCTAAATCTAAAGTTACATTTTATGGAGTGCAAGCACGGATGATCAATAATTTTATCAGGCATCAAGAAGTCATACTGGGCCAGTTTCAACTGAATAAATTCCTTATACGTAAGCAGTTGCATCCATTCGTCTTTGTCGAATCCAATGAAATTATTTTTACTTTGCTGCATCTAAACCATCGAAAAAAATTTTCGAGTAGTTGACTGATCACATTTCAATTTTAATTTATGAACAACATAATACTGGAATCCAAAATTGACTTCGTGGTCCTGTTTCTTTCGAGAAGTTTTATTTCTTTTAGTTACACTCATGTCCATCAGGTAAGACTACTTTAAATAAACTGTAAATATGTTCTAGTCTTACCGGTATATAAAGAAGAAAGCCCTAGCAAGCACACCCTCAGTTGATTAAAAAATCTCAACCAATGATGAACACAGTCGATCGTAATTCAAGCATTATAGTAGATTTTCAATATGTACTTGGTATCAACAAACAAGTTTTCGTTAAGGAGCTGGCGTTAATGCCTGCTGGAACTGTTATACCTAATTTTTTCCATTTCAAACCGCCATATAACATAAAAGAATTATATAATGGAGCTCTTAAGCAGCAGCACGTTAACCAGCAGAACGTAATCGGATTGGATTGGTCACCTGGAGATATTCCATAAACAAGTCTTGAAGAGATACTAACACCACTCAATAAGTATCACATAGTTCTTGTTCGTGGTGAAATTAAAAAGAATTTTTTAATCAAGTATTTATCAACAAACATTATCGATATAGATATTGGAAGAAGCTTAACTCAACTATCCAATTTTTTTACAAATTGTAGAATACACAAGAAAAAACTTCCACTTCGATGTTCATTAAATAATTTATTTAAGCTGTTTGTATTCTTAGAAAACATCAAATTTGAAATATACAGCAATGGTGACACATGTGTTTAAAAATAAGTTAAAAGTAATTCATGGTCATATCAGGTTGTCTCTTATTATGGATTTTTTTAAGAGATTTTTTGGAAATGATCCCCGTAAAAATGGATACACGCAACTTATTTATTGTAATTATTGCGGATCTGATACTCCTTTCGAGACGAACTGCTCCAAGAAACGCGATCAAGAGAATATTAAAAAAACCTAGTGTAACTTAAAAACATTATATTAGCAATTAGTAATAATATAATACATTAAAATTCATTCGGAATAAAGTAAATTTTTTTAATAAAAAATCTTTACACAATTTATACATCCTTTTACAATGCTTATTTGTGGACCCTCAGGATCGGGAAAAACAACCTTTTTAGAAAATCTAATCACCAAAAAGAATGATCTTTTTAATATTTCAATAGATCGATTTATTTGGTGATATGCAGAAGAGAGTGCCAAGCCCAATTTCGAAAAGATTGAATATTTTAAAGGAGTTCCTGAAACAGTTGAAAATGAAACGAATGAACCAATTCTTTTAATATTGGATGACTTGATGATGGAAGCCTTTAATAAAAATGTGTGTGAGCTGTTTACAAAAGGATCTCACCATAGGAATTTATCAGTAACAGTGGTAACTCAGAACATATTTAATAAATCTTCGCACACCAGAGATATTTCACTAAATACCAAGTACATTGTTGCTTTCAAAAATCCTCGTGATAAGCTTAAATTTCAATGTTTAGCAAGACAAATTTACGCAGAAAACCCATATAAAGAAGTAACGGAGCAACCTCACGGATATTTACTTAATGATCTCACTCAGGGCATTAACGATCTCTTAGATCTTAAGATCTGACATTTTTAATTGAGAATATTCCGTGTGCTTTTCAAATGAAAATGGTTTACAAAAAGAGCTTAAATCGCTTAAAAGCGAACAAACATTTATTGTATGTTCTCAAATCCCATCTTAATGCTCTAAAAAAGGGCCCAAAGCGTACATTAAAAGCGTACATTATAAAATTGTTACAATTTTGAATAATAACAAAATAAGAGATTTCGAAAATGGCTCAAATTCGTCAAGATTTAAGTTACTATCAAAATAAAAAACGTAATAAATCATGGAATTTTCAAAATGAACAAAAAGCGAATCCTATTACAACCAGAACAACTAAATCCCAAACCACTGATTGGATTGATATAAAACCCAGCACATCAAAATCAACATCAAAGTACGATCACTCACGTCCGGAAAAATTTGAGTTCCCCGACTTACCACCTGAAAGTGGATTATGTAAATCACTGTGGTGGGGGCTTAAGCAACATCGGAAGTCTTTACATATCTCCGCATATAGTGCAACAAGGACGAGGAATCGGAAATTTTTTAGCGGTCTTTTTAATTACATAAAACCACATTTTTTTCGGGAATAACTGCTATAAAAAATCAGGCTGCTGAAACTGGTAAGGCTGTAATCAATGAATTTGGGAGAAAGCCTTTAAGAAATGTAATTCAAGAACAAAGTAAAATTGCTTTACAAAATCTTTATTATGCTACAAAATAAACTTCTGACTTTTTATTGTTAACTGTTACATTTCTCCTATTATGTTTAATTATTCGCAACTGGAGCAATTTAAAAAACAGTCTGCTGGTGCACAAAGAAATTAAAATTAAAATAAATGAAGTGTTCAACGAATGTTTTTATTAGTTTAAATTATAAGTTTAAGGCTTCCTTCTCGTTCCGCGGATGCTTCGCAATCTTTCCCGCGCCATCTGTAGTCCAGCTCCGAGTCCCAATAGGCTGGCCAATAATGGCTGGTAATGGCTCCTCCAGCTGTCCCTTAGCGGGCACCATATTTTCTCCTCCCTAAAGAAGCCAGCGCGTCTTTCATCTCCGCTTAAGCTGTCAAGTAGCTGGTGGAGGTGGAGTCCTCAATGGAGAGCTCCTCGGAAATCGAGCGGTGTCCCATGGTCCTTCCCACTGGGATTCTCTAGTGAATCTCCTCCAGCACTTCAACAATTTTCGGATTTACCCCGTTGTGGTATTGCTTCCTGTCGGTCAAGTCCCACAATAATGGGCAAAAGCTTGGATTATGTGTCCTTTTTCATCTGCACTGTTAGCCGTTTTTGGGGATTTTCTTCCATTTTTGATTTTTAAATTCCCCATCGCTTCTGCACGAACACTAGTTGAAAGTGTTACCAAATTTTTTTTTAATTACTAGTCTTACTGTCAAGCAGCTGGGTTTGCTGACAAACGGAAAATAAATTAATTGGAGCAAGAAATTAAATAGAATTAAATGGAATGTTTAACACAAATTTGTTTTGTTGTAAATTAAAAGTTTTGCGGATGCTTTGCTATCTTCTCCGCGCCATCTGCAATCCATTTCCGATTTCCAATATAATATCATGACCTTGCATCTTCGCAATGACTGGTAATAGCTTCTCCACCTGTCCCTTAGCGGGAGGCCTTTTTTCTCCTCATTATAGGAGCTGGCGCGTCCTCCACCTTCGTTTTAGCTGCCAACTACTGCTGGTGGTGGAGTCCAACGATACCCCAATGGGATTTTTTGGTTTCCACGCCGCTTCTGCACGAAACAGCCAAATATCAAATTCTTTGTTCCTTGCGCGCGGGCAACAACGAAATTTACTCATGAACACTTGCACTTTTTTCAGGTATTCCCTTAGCTCATCTGATTACAGCCGCACTGTCCTATTATTAGCTCGCGGTTTTCGTCGATGTGAGTACTAGACTTTTTTACATCATTCACACGGAGGGGTTTCTGATTCAGCGACCAAATACCGCTTCACCAACTTTTTTTTTATAAGAGCAGCTCAAGCAAACCTCTTAGTTGATTTATTTGTGCGGTCCTTTTTTATTTGGAGTTTCGGGATTATTTTAGACAAAATGCTTTTGGGCGCCTTTATATGGAAATTGTTATTGGTGCAGGACCAAGGAACCTTCCAACGGCCCGAAAATTAACAATTGATCCTGTAGTAGAAAGATATATTGGTATGTTTTTTTAAGGGAACGACCAACCTCCAGCTTACGTTATTTTTGGCAACACCTGGCACCTGTTGCGTAAATTCAAATCTCGTTTTTGATCATTTTCGACTGAGATTGCACGTCCTCTCCTTTCGGATATGGTTAGCTTATACCGATCAGCTGTTCGCTTCAGCGATTTTATTTTTTAGAATAATTTTCTGTTGCGGAATTTGGTAACTGTTGCAGTAACTCACTCATTCTGAACAGTCTATAATTGTGCTGGATCTGGCGGTAAAAATTGGTAAATTCTTATTATGGTAAAATACTAAATTAGCATTACATCCTGGGAACAGCTGTTTTCAGTGGTGGCAGGCGTTTACATCTATCTGTTAGTCTCCACACTGCGACTTTGTTCCTTGTGTTCTTTATTACCTGATCAGTTGGTTTGGGTGGCATGTAGGCCCGATAAAAAGTTCCATTAAAATTTTGTAGAAATAGGGTGAAAAGCTTACACAACAAGTGCGTGCAAGTGTTTGTTGTAGGACAAAGCAAAGTAAAAAAATACAAAAGGAACACTTCTGTGGTGTCTTAACGGAAAAGCGGTCAAAAAAACAAACTGCATTAAATGTCTTCATCCGAAGTCAACATATCGCGCTTGCTGATCCTAGCGCAAAAATGTAACAACTTCTACCTAAAAGGTGAGAAATGCAGTATTCAATACCCGGTCTTTTGTTTAGAGGTAGGATGTGGTCGCGATATACATATACTACACTTCTATCGATTAGTTCCTTTGTTTATTTACATATCTACCATTTTGTTTGCCTATTCGTGCGAGTATATTGATTTGCCCTCCCGCAGTTCACTATGTATATAATTAGTTGACACAGTTGGATTCTTGCGCATCCATTCTTCATTAAGTACATTAAATGCCTTTACATATTTTACATACATATAATCGTTTGGAGTAAAAAAGTAAATGCTTTTGAATTGGCTAATGGCTTATTTTCCCACCTGCATACTTGTTTTCCATAAGCTTGCTTTTAAGAAAAGTAACAATTATGTAAGATTTATATATGTAAATATATATATATATACATATGTACATAAATACATATGTATGTGTGAGAAATATATATTTACCCAGTAGCCTTCCGAAAGGCCATTTAAAAACAATTGATTTGATAGTTAATTTACCGAATCCCTTAGCCATTTGAAATGATTGTTATGTCTCATGAGAAGATAAAGAAAAAACCCAGAAGTCATTTGGGATACCAAGATTCCGTTTTTCGACCCATAAATTGTAATATTCTTGACCTTTATTATCAGTTGGTTTGTTCTAGCTACAAAAAACTTGTACTTAGCACTTGAGATGGCCTTTCGGAAGGCTACTGGGTAAATATATAAACTTAGATCAGTGCTGAGTAGATCTGAGGGTTGTCATTATCCTTTAATGTGATCCTTTCGCCTCTCTGGCCACTTAAGGCTTTGTATCGTCCTATGTTCCTTGTATTTTTGTGTGGTTAGAGTCGTTTAGAACGCTATAAAAGGCTTCCAATGATAACAACAAAAAAACATCAGCCAAATCGATTTAACGAAATAGTTATTAAAAACACAAGTGTGCCTAGACTTTTGTTCGGCAAAGTATGCTCATTTTATGGTTATATCTCAATGATACAAAATTAACTTGATTATTAAATATTCCCTTTATCCAAAATAATTTTGTAGAATAATATAATACATTTATAGAGGAAGAAAAGCGCACTTGAATTTTACAATTAGCAACCAACAGTTAAGTTCGGCACTGTAGGTACAATGTACAGTGGCTCACAGCTTTATCTTTTAGTGCCCAAGACCGACCTTCCATTACAGAGGGTATAATGATTTCAGTCAGGAGTTTGCAGCGCAGTGACCGACCCCATAAAGTAAACGCATACACTAGTCGATATAAGCAAAAACCCCATTAGATTTGGTCTGTTTTTGGGTTATTTTCATATTTTTGAACACGGACACAACATTTTGGCTGTTCACTGAAATAGCAGTTTTTGATTTTCTTCCAGGAAATGTCCCGAAAATGTTTGTAATTTGGTGAAAATTGGTTTTAATGAAGACCAATATTATAAATTGAACCAAATACACTATAACTATAGAAAAAAATAAACTTTAGTGGGTAGAGGACCTCATTGCTTCAAGGGAGAAAGGAAAAAATGATTGAACTTAGAAAGGAGGGCAAAACGTATCAATATATTCAGTGCCCCTTAAAATGTCCAGCCAATATGGTTCACAATGCCATAAATTATGATCCCAAGCGATACGGAAAACCACAATTGTATAGGACGTACGCAAAGTGCGCTTCAGCAAGGCTTATCCTTTTGCATCCTGTAGGACTAAAAAAGCGGATCTGAGCTTGGGAATCAGTGATGGCACTATTCTCCGAGGTAGATGAAATTTGAATGCTAGAAGTCCACGAAAGGAGCCTTTACTTGGTAAAAGACACCCCAAAGATAGGTTGAAGTTTGCCAAATGCCACTTGAACCAGCCACTTTCAAAAGGTCGACTTATCCTTTGGACAGATGAGTCTTAGCTGGTGTTTTTTGGTGGAACAGGTTCAAAATAGTATTTTCGTCGAACAACGAGTACCACACAAACCATACGCTCAAAACTGTTAGGTAGGTGGCCTTAAAATCATGGTATGGGCATTTTTCTTTTACAGCGGTGTGGGCCCCGTACGTTCGATCGATGGGATCATGGAACAACATGATTACGTAAATATACTGAGAAATGTTAGCCTGTAATAGCCATTAAAGGCTATACAAAAAAATATATATAAATATATATATAATCAAATCGATATTTAGTAGGATTAAGTTATTTATGAGCCATATTGAATTTTATCATATTTTTCTTTTAAGACTGCTATTTCAATAAACACCATAGTTCAGTCTTTCTATTTTTTTATTATCCATATTTGCTAAGATATTGAAGTACCCAACAGGGAAAAACAGCAAAATTATTTAAAAACAAATAGTTTAAACTGTTGTATCTAAGTTTTGTCTCAATGTTGTGTTTATATTAGTGTTTTTCGATTTTATACGTGGAGGTTGTATGCACTGCTATTTCAATGAACACAGCTGTAAGAAGGATCAAGCTGGAAAAATAATGAACATTTTTTGTTAAACTATAGCTTTGTTGTTTTTTTGCATATTATTTTCTACTCTAAGGAATATATTTTTTAATACTTCAGAATTTTGAATTAAATTTTAAAAATTTGACGACTATATCATATAGCTGCAATAGGAACGATCGTATATGTAATGGGAAAATAGTAGGATATTCGTTATTTGTTTTACCCTTTACTGGTAGAGTAAAAGAGTATACTAGATTCGTCGGAAAGTATGTAACAGGTAGTAGGAAGCGTTTCCAACCCTATAAAGTATATATATGTGTTAGTGAAAACACCCGATTTGCTGCAAGCTGAGTAACGTTTATCGTTTTTTCTTGTTTATCATATTCTCTTCTACTCCGGTATAAAGATTGTATTCTTTATTTCATTATTACGAAAAATTGAAAAAAATAACGGACTACTATATTATATAGTTGCCATAGGAAGCCTAGCAAAATTATGCCCGTGCATCAGTGCACATTTTCCCAGCCCAACCCTTTCATTTTAAGAGATCAGTATCAATGGAATATTGACATTAGCCTGTCGATACAAAGATTTACAAAGATTGATGACAACTACTCAGCACAGATCAACGTTTAAGATACTAAAAACTTTGGAAGGAATAATAGCCCAATTGAATTTCGAAAGGCCCTGCAAAGTTCAAAGTACCAGTTTAAGGCAGCTAAAAAAAATTATTGATTTTAAAGTTTTATTTTTTGGGTCAATTAGTCAGGAAAGGATTATTATATCACACGTGGAGGTGAAAAGGAAACAGTAGTCGATCAGTATACCTACACACCGTCTTTCGATAAAAAATAGCTGTGTTCTTGACCGTTATAATCAGATGGTTTTTATACCCGTTACTCGTAGAGTAAAAGGGTATACTAGATTCGTCGGAAAGTATGTAACAGGCAGAAGCCAAATCGATCTAACCATGTCCGTCTGTCCGGATGAACGCTGAGATTTTGGAAACTATAAAAGCCAAGCTATTGAGATTTGGCATGCAGATTCCGGCCACGAACACTTTAACGCCCAAAAACCGCCCAAAACTGTGGCTCCTACAGTTTTGATGCTAGAGTAAAAGCTTTAACTGAAATGAATTGTTCTTATCAATACCTATTGATTGACTTAAAAAAAAGTTTGTCACACCCACTTCAACGCCCACAAGCCGCCCACAAACTTAAAAAAATCGTAAAAATGAACGCGGATATCTCGAAAAATATCACAGATAGAGAACTGGGATTTCAAATTTAGACTCCGTAGCCTTGAGCGCAGCGCAAGTTTGTTACGCGAATATGCCACGCCCACAAACCGCCCAAACCTGTGGCGCCCACAGTTTTTATGCTAGATAAAAAATGTTAACTGAAATGTAATAGTCTCGTCAATACCTATCGATTGATCTAAAAAAAAGTTTGCCACGCCCACTCTAACGCCCATAACGCTTAAATCTGTCGCCCACATAGCCATATATTGAGATCAGGTGTAGGTGGCTCATTTCAGTCTCGCTTTGCTGCTTGCATATCTCCATTTCCCTTTTGTCCCTTTAGCTGAGTAACAGGTATATGTTTTAACTACAAAATACTAACACGGCCTTTCAGACGGCTATCAGGTGAATATTCGTGCCAACATACTAAACTTTTATCTCTGTTAAGTAGATCTTAGGGTTGTCATAATCCGTTTATGTGATCCTTTCGGCTCCCTAGCCTCTGACCTGGATAGATGGGTATTCAAAAGAAAAAAATCTCATTAACACTCACAAAAGCTATAAAAATGCAGGGGGACAGACACAGACCTTAGCGCTGAAAGCGATTGTGAGCGTTAGAAAGAGCGTGGCACATTCGGATAACAAACTAGCGCCGAGCTATGAAATATACATCTGAAATCCCAATTCTCTAGCTTTTATATTTCCGATCGACTCGCCTTTTGTTCAATAACACGGGTACACAGCCAAAAATTTTCAACGAATCATTTCCAGTTTTCCATGAAAATTGGATCCTCCTGAGTAAAAATCCCATAGGAACTTGTGTTCTGTCACCTACAGGTCCCGCGTTATAGCTAAGAATACAAAAAATCGATGTTTGTCCACATATTGAATTATTTGGCCTACGTCATTTGTTAGGTTAGGTAGGAGTGGTTGGAGATTAGATACTAATCCCCACACTCAGGCCACATTGGGCCCCTTGTGATACCACATGATATCTGATTAGATCCTTTTCCCTAGCTCATGGGTTATTTGCTTTCGCGAAGTATTTTGTTCTCCTTGGGAAACATAAGATCTTTTGGATGCTTACGCCCTGAATGGATGCAAGGTTCGGAAGAGTGTGGCTACCTAGAGTTTGAAAACGCTTTAGGTTATGCGCTGGGCAGAACCATATGAGGTGTTCGATGCTCTCCTCTTCGTCTATTTGTTTGCAGCTGCGGCAGAAGTCGTGGTTACTGAGTTCCAGCCTGTGCGCATGAGTCCCTATAAGACAGTGGCCCGTGAGGGCATTTAGGAGAGTGGAGATGTCCTCCTGCTACATTGTAGGAGAGTTTTTG